CACACACACACACACACACACACACACACACACACACACACACACAGAATTAATGGAGCTTTTATGATACCTGCATTGTCAAACTTGGAGGCATAATTTTCAATGCCAGCTAGATCCTGGTAGTGCTTTCTGCGCTCTTTGTTTTCATCCACACAGAAGAGCCTTCTCATTGGACGTCCAGCTTCCTGAGATCCACTCTGCTCCTGCTCTGCATCTGTTTTCAGTGAGTGCAGGATGTTGGCATTGCTGACAGTTTAGAAGCTTATTAAAATCTTGACGGTCATGAACTGTTTAGTTTTGGGTCCTTAAATCCTAAAAATCACAATAACACGTACCTGTGTTTGAGCTCTTGTTTGGATAATGTGAGGAAGTTACAGCTAGCTTGATCCTGAGGGGCCTTGTACCACTGCAAGGTTGCTTCACCGATGTCTCTAAAACCTCAAACACGGAGTGCATCAGGCTGGACATGTCCTGCAGAACACAGATATACACACTGCATACAGAGACATTTTACATCTGAAATATGTCAGCAGCAAAAACAAAAACAAAAACCCTCTCTTACCTCTTTCTTGACCTCATCTGTGTTGTCAAAATTGTACAATGTGAAGGTCCACTCCTGCTGAGAGTCGTCTCCAGGCTGCGCGTTACCCTCCATGCCCTGTGTTCACATGCGAACATGCTGTCAGAATAATACTGATGCCATAGTTTGTCATTTACAGTAATATGTGTATTTGCTTATTATATGTATATGTACTGTAACTTTACACTCATGAGACATTTTATTATTATTATTATTATTATTATTATTATTATTATTATTAGGTACACCTTACTATTACACTCCCTTTTGCTTTCAGAGATGCTTTAATTCTTCATGGCACAGATTCAACAAGTGCTGAAAACATTCTTCAGAGGTTTTGGCCATATTGACAAAATATCCCCACACTATTACACCACAAGCAGCCTGAACTACTGACAAAAGGCAGGATGGAGCTACGCTTTC